AGAATATAGAATAGACTTAATGATAGGATATAATAAATAGTTATAGTCTAGGAAAAATTTTATTGTAGAATAAAATATGCATGGTAATAGATTCCTAATAGATTAGTACACATTAGCCTAGTACAAGCTTCATTGTAGAAAAAAATTACGTAGCTAGAAATTAATTTTATTAATGTAAGAGTAGAAGTAGTTAACGCAATAGTAGTTTGGATTATTTTAGAATAGCAAAGCATATTATTAAAATGAAAGATCTTGTAGGGAAGAGGAGATAACGGCACTGGTGGTCACTGATTCAGATGGGACCAGACTGCTAGTACAATTCGGCGGAAATGCAAATGAAGACCCGGAGTTTGAAATGATTATGAGTGTACAGGCGGGAGGTCGTCTGGTGGTAATGGTGTTGAAAAAAAATGATAATTACATATGCGAATTACAATTATTTCGCTATACAGGGGAAGAACCTATAGGGCAAGTTACGCATAACCTTAGGGCATTAATTGATGTTTACTATAGAGATCGAGGTAACATCCTTCCCGGTAGGTTTCCTCAACCGGAGATAGTGGAACTATGTCAAGGGTTATGGAGTTGGTTCCAAAACCCTTACGCGTGTAATGTAACGACAACGCCATTTCGTTACCACCTGGATGTAAACCGGATACCGGGAGTAGGCGGAGCTAAGACCGTAGGCGTAGCAAGTATAGTATACAATCGAACGGAACCACCTGCACTCATCGGAAATGAAAACGAAGAACTACTAAATAATAACATAATACTGGCAAATAGGGTTACTGTGCCTTGTTTGTGGTTGTCATATGAGAAGGGATAGTACATTTTTTTATAGTTTCAACAAAACTCATATGAAGGAATATTATATAGTAAATGAATTTTTATCTCTGGCATATAATTACTCAATAAAAAAAAACCAAGTGAGGAGAGGACCATGCCTATTTGGAAACATCAAATGGAGAAGTCTCCCCAACAAAAAATACCTACGATTGTGGCATCTTTACATGTACCAATGTGAGATATTTTGTATTGGGGAAAAAAGTCTAGTTCACACAGCCAGATTGTCAACTTTTACGAAAAAGAATTGCCTATGAACTTGTTCACAGCGAACTTATTCAGGATCAGTCAACTAATCTTTAAATGATTATTGTTTTAATAACCTTCATTGTTAAAACACACTATATTGTGTACTGTTTTAGTATGTGAATTTGAATTGTTAATACATAATTATGTTTATTAATTTTGTTACCCAATTTACTACATCTGAATTTTCATTATTATGTGAAATGTTTTTAGTTTCTAATAATCATGTACAATACAATTAAAAAATAAAAATGGAACATATTATGAACAATTCAAAATGGAATCGGAATATTATATAAGTTACCGTCAGATGGGAGATATGAAAAAGGTAGACAATAACCGTGTAATGCAACCAAATATCACAGCAACGACAACTGGGTCAATCGAGTTCAACGCCACGGAAGTAAACAAAGATTATACAAACATAACTAGCACAGTGGGTCACACTACACAGACAGCAAGAACCGGACGTACAATATCAAATTACGAATTGAATAGTATTACGGACGAAACATCAACACGATACTGGAGTACCACAGGAAGTGAAAATATAAATTACGAAACAAATCAAGGCAGTTATTATGTGAACAATAATGAAAAAACAGTTGTGTGCATATCAGATGAACGCGTAATTAATTACCTATATATAGTATGCGGAATACTAGGAATAATTGTAATCATAATGCTGTTGATAATGACAACTATAGTGAAGCACTATAGGTTAGTCAGGAAGGAGAGATATCGATACCTCGTACGAACATTAGAATTTACGGAAATGGATACAATACGAGCCCGCGACGACACAGCAAACTCACGACTTTGAAAAAAAAAATTTTTTTTAGAATAGAAATAAAATAAAATAAAAATAAATTAAGATTAGGTAGTGTTAGGTAGTATACAATTAAATAATAGGAAAAATCTAATTATAGGGAAAAATACAAGTTATTCTGTATCAAACTGGATTTCGCCATTGTGAATGAGGAACATGAAAAATGTACAATAGGCGACGGAAGTAATATAAAACCATGTTTAACAAAACATATACAATTAGCTAACAGTCAACTAGCTGAACCATTCTCGGAAGACAAAATAAGAAGGATGAAACAAAGCATCGCAACATTTCTCTACGACATTTCAAAGAGCAGAGTCGGTAACCAATATTGTCAAGAATTAGTCGAACACATGGAGTATATACCGGAACCAGAAATATTGTTGGAATATGTAGATCAATATACGAATTAAGAATAGTACAAATGATATGATAGAATATAGAATAAACTTAATGATAGGATATAATAAATAGTTATAGTCTAGGAAAAATTTTATTGTAGAATAAAATATGCATGGTAATAGATTCCTAATAGATTAGTACACATTAGCCTAGTACAAGCTTCATTGTAGAAAAAAATTACGTAGCTAGAAATTAATTTTATTAATGTAAGAGTAGAAGTAGTTAACGCAATAGTAGTTTGGATTATTTTAGAATAGCAAAGCATATTATTAAAATGAAAGATCTTGTAGGGAAGAGGAGATAACGGCACTGGTGGTCACTGATTCAGATGGGACCAGACTGCTAGTACAATTCGGCGGAAATGCAAATGAAGACCCGGAGTTTGAAATGATAATGAGTGTACAGGCGGGAGGTCGTCTGGTGGTAATGGTGTTGAAAAAAAATGATAATTACATATGCGAATTACAATTATTTCGCTATACAGGGGAAGAACCTATAGGGCAAGTTACGCATAACCTTAGGGCATTAATTGATGTTTACTATAGAGATCGAGGTAACATCCTTCCCGGTAGGTTTCCTCAACCGGAGATAGTGGAACTATGTCAAGGGTTATGGAGTTGGTTCCAAAACCCTTACGCGTGTAATGTAACGACAACGCCATTTCGTTACCACCTGAATGTAAACCGGATACCGGGAGTAGGCGGAGCTAAGACCGTAGGCGTAGCAAGTATAGTATACAATCGAACGGAACCACCTGCACTCATCGGAAATGAAAACGAAGAACTACTAAATAATAACATAATACTGGCAAATAGGGTTACTATGCCTTGTTTGTGGTTGTCATATGAGAAGGGATAGTACATTATTTTGATAGTTTCAACAAAACTCATATGAAGGAATATTATATAGTAAATGAATTTTTATCTCTGGCATATAATTACTCAATAAAAAAAAACCAAGTGAGGAGAGGACCATGCCTATTTGGAAATATCAAATGGAGAAGTCTCCCCAACAAAAAAATACCTACGATTGTGGCATCTTTACATGTACCAATGTGAGATATTTTGTATTGGGGAAAAAAGTCTAGTTCACACAGCCAGATTGTCAACTTTTACGAAAAAGAATTGCCTATGAACTTGTTCACAGCGAACTTATTCAGGATCAGTCAACTAATCTTTAAATGATTATTGTTTTAATAACCTTCATTGTTAAAACACACTATATTGTGTACTGTTTTAGTATGTGAATTTGAATTGTTAATACATAATTATGTTTATTAATTTTGTTACCAAATTTACTACATCTGAATTTTCATTATTATGTGAAATGTTTTTAGTTTCTAATATTAACAGATTATTAAAAGTGTTAATTTTTACAATGAAATTTTTAATGAGAGTTTAAATGAAACATTTGAGGACTCTAATAATGTAAAAGATAAAGTAACTGATAGTAACAAAGAAACATAGGTACCATACTGAAACTCCTGAACCTAGTTCCACTCCCATATCGTAATAGAGTAGTTCACCGGGAACACGCATTTCGTGTCACTCCGCAGTTTTTCGCTCAGTGCTAAGTGAAGGTTTGCTCGTTTTTTGTGCGGTTTGGCCAAGAACTACTTACGGCTCTCGTGGTTATTTTGGCGCATCCCGCGCGGATATCGGTGCAACCTGGGCGTAGTTCTGACGATTCAAGTTTTAGCAGTTAAGCGACGGCGACGCGCGCCGCGCCCGTGTACACAACCGGTTTGTTACATGGCCGCCGTTCGTTTTCAACACTGCCGCCGGGCTACCTCTAGGCCGCCCGACACCACTACTGATTTTTTTTTTGCGATAACTCGACTTCGGCTGGCACTACGGCTTGGGTCGTAGGCTTCTTGAATTCGTGTTGTCCATATGAATCGATTGGGGGTGGTCCCCACCGGATTGGACAAAAACTCTGGAACTTCGAAAAAGTAAATTATATTGAAATTCGTTACCACGAAGCATATAATCTCGAATCCACCGTGACAGGAGAAATCCAGGGACACAAAGGGTCTCCCAGAGACCACCTCCCCAGGTCTCTCGCTCTCCTCACGCTCAGCAACGGGTGAGTAATTAATTTATTAAAAAGAAATATATAAACACACGCCGCTCGGAGGCGGCGGCCAATCGGCCGACCGGCTCGCGGGTGAAAGAGGGCAGCCCCGCCACTCACTCTCAATCTCAACCGCGACATCAACCAGATGCACACGGGGAAGCCAACCAACGCACCGCTCGTTCCCGCACACTATCTAACGATATGGGTGGAGGCAGCAAAAAAAAAACCCCCACCACCGGGCCGACCCCTTCGGTCGCTATCAAGCCGATTGAAATACCGTGGGTCAAAGCTAAATACGGCAAACTTTACCCTATCGGGCGCCCGCTGGACGGCCCCGAAGGTAGACGCTACTTCATAGACACGCTAGGAGAGTTCCATCTGATCCACCCCCCCCCCCGTCACCCACCCACTAGTGGAAGAACCTACTAGGAAAAGGTCCAACGGAGAGCCGGAGGACAGATTCGAGATCGACGATCTTGTCGCCCCCGAAACCTCCGACCCAAAGGAGATTCATAACACCATCTCGGAGAAACTCAGGGACCTCACAACCCTCCTCGGGGATGAGGACCCAGCAACCAAGTATCTCAATAAGATTCTGCACTACATGGCTACAACCCTACAGGCCATGTCACCGTCGCACCCAAGCTCAGTCGTTGTTGCTGCTCCATCCTTCACCACAGCCACTCAAGTTAGCAGGCCTAACAGTCCCAATACCATCGGGGACGTAGCCGGGGGCCAGCTCACGCCCTGCCCTACGTGCCAACACCGTGAAAACGTCCCCGAAATGGAGGTAGACCCCGATGCCGCCCTCAAAGGGAAAAAAAGGAGGAGGCACCACAAGAGCCCCTCCCAGGACCCTCCCCCTCCTCCGCTGCCAGCACCTCCGCTCCTAAGACCGTGACGGAAGGGCAGTGGACCGAAGTAGTAGGGAGGAAAGCAGCAAACAAAGGCACCAAAGAAGCTTTTCCCTCACTCCCTACACCGAAACCCACACCGAGGAAGCGGAGCGCTCATTGTGAAAGTCTCGGCGGGCGCCACCTACGAGGACACAGTCAGGTCCCTGCAGCAGTCGGGCGTCAACCCTGACGACTACGGGGCAACCATCAACGGGATCCGCAAGACCAGAGGGGGCGATGTCGTGGTAGACCTGGGCAAGAGCATAAAGTCCAGGGAAGCTGCGGCTCCCTTCCTAAAGGCTCTGACTGACAAAGTCACCGGTGTCCAAGCCTATGTGACTCAGTCGGGAACAAGCGTAGACATGGAGGTCATCGACCTGGAATCCACCTCAACTGCTGACGCAGTTCTGGCCGCGGTCAAAAAAGCCATTCTTGAAGCAGGCAAAGGAGACGCCAAAGTAGCTGCTGCTTGCGGCGACATCTCTGTCACCTCCATGTGGAGACTCACAAATGGTCAGCAAGTTGCGAAGGTCAGAGTACCCAGATCGGTGAAACCCACAGAGGTCAGTCGTGTCAGGGTCGGCTGGACAAACTGCCGCTTCAGAATCCGTCGCCCAGAAGCCATCAGGTGCTTCAAGTGCCATGGCTTCGGGCACACTCAGGGCAGATGCTCCGGCCTTGATATGAGCGACTCCTGCCGCAAATGTGGGGACAAGTCCCACAAAGGAGAAGGAGTGCCTTTCTGGAAAATGCGTTGCCTGTGACCGCGCTGGACTGAAGCTGGGTCCGCTGTCTGTGGCGCCAAGCGCGCAGCTGAGTCCTGACGCTCAAACAACCGCCGCATTGATTAAAATGCGGCAAATGGGTGAAGCTCAGTACGGGATACGAGAGTGACGGGCTCCGGCCGGCTCGCGAATGAGGGGCGCAACAGCACGAGTATCACAGGATGGCGGGCTACCGCCGGTCTGAGAAGAGCACTCACCCTCCGCGTGAACGAATCATTTTAACGTGGGAGCGTAGCTTGGGCACGACCTGGCTATGCTCCTGTGGCCGGTTGTTAAAAAAGATTTTTAAAAAAAAACATATTGTGAGGCATCATGGGTCGGGGGTACTAAAATCACGACTCATGCGAGCCCAAACAAAGTTGTGTACATTTTTCATTAAATAAACGATGCTACATGGGAGTTAAGCAATGTGAAAACAGTTCGGTTCCCATGTAGTGATTATATTCGGGAAAAAAAAAAGTTCCACTCCCATAAAAAGGAAATGTATTTTACCTGTAAGGTACATAATATCTAACTAATATATATTATATATTACATGTATATCAAAAATGTATTTTAAGTATTTATAGGTTTGAAATTTAAATCAATTATAATTATGAAATAATGATTTACTTTATAATAATTTTGTTTTGTTATTATTTTATGTAAAATAATTTTGTAATGTTCATTTATTTTTTATTTTTTATTATTATTGTTATAAACTTAAAGGGATGTAGTGTTGTATATGTAATCTATCTGGCTGACTGTGCCAAATAGACGCGACCGTTGCTCTATGTGTTACGTAACTGTGTAGCTAACCTTATTATTCATTCTATCCGTTGTGTGGTACATCATCGTTGTGTCTACTGTAAATGTTTTGCATTGTCTTCGGAAATTAGCTTTTTGATTTTTAGTGATAATATATGACGGATAAATTTTGTCTAATAAATACTTATGAGTTATAAACTGATAATAAATTTAATGCTAAATATGTAGATGAACGCACATGTGCTTCCTTCTTCTCAGCTAAGCTATTCTCATTTAAGAAATCAACTTTTTCCCACGGACGAAACATATTATTGTCCATATGTTAAGAATATCTATAACACAATACTGATACTGTTATAATATACTTTTTACTTCTAACCAGGGCTTGCATTTAAAAAAAAAAAATGAGTTTTATGTTATTTACAATTAAAACGTTACACCATAATTGCGTTTATCGTTATTCAGAATTAAAACGTTATACCTACAATTTTTATGTTTATCGTTATTTAGAATTAAAACGTCATAGAAGTTTTCCTTTTATCGTTACCTATTTATAATAGTGTTAATACCTATTAATTGTATTTTAAATTATTTAGATTTGCGTTATTTTTTTGTTGAATAAAAGTCTATAAATTACGTTTTAGGTTATGTTTTGTTTAATAATATAAAATATATTTTGTTAAACGATATATTTTGTTTTGTGGTATTTAATTATTTGTAATTATCGCTATCCATTATAATCGCTTTTTTGTCATATATGTATAACATTAATATAACGTTTGCTAGCCCTGCTTCTAACTAAGCCATCGTGTGTTCTCTTAACTTAACTTAACTCGAGTTCATTATTTTCGTTAACTTTCCCACCTTGTGCTAGATATCGATGATAAATATATAATAAGATTGAATTTATTGGACTGATTATTTATCAGCATTAAGATTAAGCTTTTGAAATTTAAAGAAAAAAATACTGTTGAAAAGGATGCATTCATCCACGGCCAAATAATGTAATATTCAATATTTATAGTTATATTCACGATAGTGATAAGTAATAGTAGAATAAAGATTAGGTAGTTAGGTACCTGTATGTTATTAGTTATTATATTATATCATTATTAACAGTGTACTAACTACTATTGTAATAAATTAGCGTGATTAGGTAATGTGAGTCAAACGGTACATAATAATACTGTTTCCGTGACTTCATTTTATCAGCTGCAAACAGTTATTGTGAAAAATTCAATACGAAAATCTATATAAACGGACGTTTTATTTATATTAATCAATTATTTATACCAATACATTTAAAAGCCATGATTTGTTTAAAACAATATAATACCTAATTATTTTTCACACATATCATTATGAATTAACTTCAGTAGGTAATTAAGAAATTGGAAGAATATAAAAAAAATGTTAACGGGGGGTAAATATTTGCTAGTGAAATTTTACCCCCGGAATATTCTCTAGGGATATTTTACCGATGGGTAAAATATCTCTAAAGAAAATTTACTGAAGGGGGTAAAATTTCACGGGGGTAAATAATCCCGGTTACATCGTTATTCAAAACCAAAACCGAAACCGAAATTATTTCAATCGGTTTCAAGCCCTGCCTTGGGCATTATTAAGATTAATTTAACGATAAATAGTAATAATTATTATGATACAGTCTTTCATGTAGTACATGATAAGTTACCAGGTTCAATGTCAGGAATTCTCGGTATACCATTTTTTAGTAAAAACGACGTAACTCTTAATCTAAAAAAAAGCGAAATGATAATTGATAGAACACAACATAAAGAAAATTTAATAAGCGTACCACCTAGGTCAAATATTATACTAATAATAACGGTCACAAATGAAGAAATAAATAACGGAGATTCGGTAGTAATAAACAAAAAAAATCTAAATAATACTGTATGGTTAGGAAAATCGGTGTCTTTATGCGAAAATAATACAATTAAAGCAAATATAATGAATATTTCAGAAAATTACGTAACATTAACACAGTTAAAAACAAACAATATAAATTGGGAGTTTTTTATAGAAAATAGTGAGGTAGAATCGGGATTAGATAGCGAAGAAAAAAATAACTCTATATTGTACTTTGAATCGAATAACATGATTAAATCGGAACCGTCGAAATTTACTGATAGAATTAAAATAATAGCAGAAAAATTAAAAACAGATCATCTTAATGATGAAGAATTAAAAGCATTATCAGATTTATGTTACGAGTATTCGGACATATTTTTCGTAGAGGGCGATAAGGTTATAGCAACTGATCTTGTAACACATAGAATTATAACACCTGCTAATCATCCGCCTATTAATACTCGACAATACAGATTACCGGAACAACAAAAAACAGAGATAAATAGACAGGTCGCGGAATTAGTTAAACAAGAAGTAATTAAAAAAAGTAACTCGCCGTGGAACCATCCGTTAATTTTGGTACCAAAAAAAATTGGCGAGGACGGTGAAAAAAAGTTTCGTCTATGTGTAGATTTTAGGAAATTGAATGCGATTACGGAAGGGAACTCTTGGCCACTTCCTTTAATAACAGATATTTTAGACAAACTAGGACATTCGAAATATTTTTCGACTTTAGATTTTGCAAATGGCTATCACCAAATTTCTATACATCCAGGGGACACTCATAAGACAGCATTCTCGACCTCAACAGGTCATTGGGAATGGCTGAAAATGCCTTTCAGTTTAAAAACAGCACCAGCAGTTGGGTCGTCCACAAAGTTGTACATATTTGGTACACATGCGACACAGCGCCATCTGTGAGATAAGAAATATTTTATTATATAAAATACCGCCTTAGTAGTTCATGCTTAAACTGTTCACTCTTTAAGCAGTAATTATATTCTGATAATATTCTATAAATAGTATCATTATTATCTTGAACTGTGTTATTAATAATTGTTTTTCAAAAATTAAAAAGTAAAATTTAACTTAAACAAAATTGTAAAAATAAAAATGGGTCATAAATGTAGTGTGAAATTGTGTGAAAGTAATAAGAGTACTGAACACATAACTTTATTTTCAATTCCAAAAAATCAAACATTACATGAAAAATGGACAAGTATTGTTAACGCTTGAAATTGTGATAATACTAAAGTAAAGTATTTATGCCATAAACATTTTGAAGTTAATGATATTAACAAAACATATGACGGTTTCACTATAGAAGATACTCAGGTACTCATTTATGAATCAATAAATTCATTCAGCTCCCATTTTCATTCAAGTGGGTCGAGTTTGATAAATTATAAACAGTTTTCATTATATTTTATTTTAAAATTAAATTTTAATTAGTGTAACTTAAGTATACAACATTTTTTAGCCTTGGGCAAACAGAACAAAATTTACATTAAAACTAGGTGCTTTACCTAAGATTTTTAATTCGTCGAATGTACCACATTGTCGCAAAACATTAAAATCGTCTGAAGATGAATTTATACTCAATAAAAATGTAGACATGGTCGACTTAAAGTAATTATACTTATAGTAAAAGAATATTAAACCAGATAATTTTTATTAGGCATTGATGAAACACAAATAAACTTAAACCTCGTCTTATACTAAACTATAGTACATTCTTTTATTTTATAATACTAGCAATCCAATAATAAATGATGACAACCATAATACTAAAAATGAGGAACATTATTCATCAACATCAATAATTGTTCAAGAGATAATAACCATTGTATGGATTACCATATTATAATACTTTTCAAAATATATCAATAATAAATAAATTAAAAGTGTATTATTCATTACAGATATCAACATTTCATGATTTAATCAATGTATTTGAAAGTATTAAGACCCCTATAACTTGGAATTCTTATAAAGAAGATAATTTCATTTCATTTTGTTGTCTAAAACCAATATTTGAAAAAAATAAAATGATCATTGAAAAACAGATAGTTTTTAATAAGAATCTTGACATTTTATTTTACATCAATGACAAATTATTAAATACTGATCAACATGGTTACACAATATTTCTTTCAAAAATGACAAAATATGACATAGAAGAAGTAATTTTAAATTTTGATCAAAAGAAATTATGCAGAGGGGGCCCTTCCTCAACTTATTTTCCAGGTTTGTAATCGTTAATTTGTATTCAGTGCTTACCTGTAAAAATCAATGATAAATCTCCAATATTTTAAACTGAATTTTATTTTATAAAATATTCTTAGATATTGAAATTAAGTACGGCATAATTTATTTAAATGACATTTGGTATCATAAAAATTGTATGGTTTTAATGAATACACCAAAATCAAGATGTGAGTGGTGTGAGCGATTATGTAGCATATTTAGAGCAAAAAAACATTATCTTGACAAATGTAAAAAGAAGAAAACTATTAAACGTTTAGGATCCACGCTTACACCAAACAGGAAGAACATGTTATTAGGCATTCAGAAAAAAAAAATTATATCTGGCGGACTGTGCCAAATAGACGCGACCGTCGCTCTATGTGTTACTTAACTGTGTAGCTAACCTTATTATTCATTCTATCCGTTGTGTGGTACATCATGTTAATAATATTATACTGTTAAGAACCCCTGGCTATATTAGTTAGTACATATATATATATATATAATAGTGTATAATATAATATTGTACGACGGAGACTGTCTGGAATTGCTGCGACAGCAATTCCAGGCAAGCGCTGGCTACAGGCACGGCTCGTATAGCAAGCCGTGCCAGTGGCATTTCAGAGCAGTAGACGGAACATTGTGCTTCGCGCCAGCACATTATTATTGTCAGACCATTTTTTATAAAACATTAAATAATTCATTAAGTGTATTGTAAGTTTTTCTTTTCAAGTTAAATATAGAAAGTAACATATAGTTCGAAAGTGTTCGTTGTTTTTATTTGTGCACGGACCTCCAAGGAGATACGTAACAATATTAAGTTTTTTTTGTCGGTTCTAATAAAGTGAATATGATTACTTATTTATTGTGTTTGTCTATTATTTATATATTACAAACATAACAAACTGTGACTAAGTGTTTTTAATATTTTTCAAATTTCATTGTTTAATATTGTAGGAGTCTTGTATTAAATTGTCAAGCTTTTTTACCCAACAAATAAAGTTTTATTGACATTCATAGAAAAAAAGACTTATCAAATTGGAAACAGAAAATGTTCCTAAACAGTTCAAAACAAATAAAAATATTTTTAAAATCTTATCGTTCATAGCAAATGCAAATATAAACGACCAGTGAAAATTTCATTTGTTTTAGAGTTAATCCAAAATCAATTTTTCGTGAAAATTCCCGCTAGGTATAGGGAATTTTGACCTTCCCAATGCACCAACAATATTCACTTTTCCATCGAACAAGATACTGAAGTTGAAAATCAAAGTATATTTATCGTGTACAGTGTACACAGACACAAAAATAAAAATAAAAAAAACACATCTTTGTCATCAATACATTCATCGCTCCACTCAGAATCTAAAAGGGATTATTTTTTTTGGGTGGGGCTTACAAATATTTGTTGACCAGGGCTCAAAAGTGTAAATACGGCCCTGGCTCCAGATAATAACCCTTGATTTTATATCTTCGCAGTAGGTAGATACTAGGTAGTATATATAGTTGGCATTGGTTACAGAAATAAAATAGATTTTATAGGTACCTAATCTACATAGTTAAAAATTAATATAGGTAGGTAAACCTATGTAAACTATGAGCTTATTACTAAACAACTAGGTACCCGATCTATTTTGATGAAAATGTCAGATATTATTCTTGGAGATATCAGGGAAGTATTCAGTGTAGAGAGTAGTTTTAAACACTTTAGACTAACCAACTGCCTTATCCGTTACAGCCTACAAGTGGATTACTTATATCTATCAAATAAGTTCACAAAGCGAAGTACACCGAATCCGATTTGTCCGTGAACTGAGATACTTACCTCCTTATACTAAAACCGAGAGACACATATCTAGCAAAACAGCACCGTATTTTATATTTGCTAATATTTTCCAGGTCGAATTCTAGTTATACAGCTAGCAGCCAGTAGGTACATAATATTATAGGAATTATATGGCAATAATTAAGTGGCCATGTGGTACCTCGATGATATTCTTGTGCCTTCTACGTCAATACCAGATATGCTAAACCGATTACAACAGGTACTAGAGGCATTAAAAGGGGCGAAACTAACACTAAAGTTGAGTAAGTGCTACTTTGGTTACCCGGAAGTAGCTTATTTAGGTTTTATGTTGTCAGAAAAGGGTGTGCGACCAAGTGATCAAAAGATAATGGCAGTCAAGGCATTTCCCAAACCAGTTAACAAACATGAAGTTCGGAGATTTCTTGGTCTATGTGGATTTTTCAGGAGGTTCATACCTCATTATGCAGAAAAAGCTCTACCGATTAGTGAACTGTTAAAAGACGGTGGGCCCTTCGTATGGACTACTGCCCAGGAACAGTCATTTCAAATGTTAAAAGAATATCTTGTGAGCCGGCCAGTTCTACAATTATTCAATCCAACGACATATACAGAGTTACATTGCGATGCCAGCAGTATGGGATTGAGTGGCATGCTCCTACAGCGCGGTAGTGATGATAAACTCCACTTAGTACATGCAGTGTCAAAAAAGACAACCAGTGCAGAGAAAAATTATCATTCCAGTAAGAAAGAGTTAATGGCAATGGTATGGAGCATGAATCGACTCCGGCCATATCTGATTGGTATCCAGTTCCTGGTAGTGATAGACTGCCAAGCCAAGCCAAGCCAAGCCATAACAATACCAAAGTACACACAAAAACATGTTAAAAACTAGTCACAATAGGAAAAGATTGTCTGCAAAATGTAAGCTATGTAAAAAATTAAAGTCAGGATTTATTAAGTGAGTAAATTTAGTATTTAAATATTTCATAATATTAATGAATCAGATAATGTAAGTTATAATATTCTTTTTTATTTTTAATCTATTTAATAGTAAATCTTTTACAGAATCTACGCCTTCAATTTTAAATTTTGTAATAATAATATTTACTATATCTTGAAGTTTAATTAATTTGCTTTCTTCTCCCCAGATATATATTGCATATTGCAAATGAGATTGAATTAAAGCTGAGTATACTGATTTCTTAAAACTTTCTTCTTTTAAAATATAGAATATTGATAATTTTCTTTTGTTATTTATTTTATTAACTATTTCATTAAATTGGGTGTCAAATGTTAATTTTTGATCAATTATGCATTCTAAATATTTATATTCGTACACCTTTTCTAATTTAGGAACAACAACATTTATTAAAATTTTTACAACAAAAGTCATGAATAGTTAATTCATTATATGAATTCGCTTCAGAAAAATCAATGTATTGTGTTTTAGAAATATTTAGAGACAATTTATTTTCAACAAGCCAATTTCTGATTTTAATTAAATCTTCATTAGCTTTTTGATATAATTCAGCATGGTTATCAGCTTCAACAACCAATGCTGTATCACTTCCATAATTTCTAAGACCATACATGGTCCTTCCATTATTTTTAAGACCATACATGGTCTTGCAGTTAAGCCTATTGTGATTTCACACGCTTGTACGCGCCGGAAGTCCACATAATATATCTATATCGCACATTTGTGGTGTTATTCAAATAACAGCACAAATCTAAACTATATTATTTTAGGATTATTCATATACGTAGTCATATATCTATTGTCGCACGCCGCTCATGGTCACGCACTCGATATTACTATTATTGATATTATAATTATTACTATTCGAGGAAGCGCTCGAGTATAATATTTATATTTACGCGGTGCGAATATTATATGATTACGTATACGTTATAATGTGTTTAAGCCATATGGCAAGATAGTCACATCTCACTACACAAGTATGAAAATCTGATTAGTCATTTCCCTGGTTAACAAAAGGTATTATTTTACAGTTTTTACAAAAGTACGTTGAAGTTTGGTTTGGAGCATGATCACTCGACCTTTAGTAAGACGGTAACCATGTGACATAAAAATGGATAATACGCATTTTTGTTATAGTAAATTACTATTACTGAAATTATGCCAGTGCAATAAAATACTGATTATTAATAATAATGTAAAGATAAATTTTTAACACCCACTTATTAAAATATACTGGTCTGTAAATCCATTGGAGAGTATGAAATATTTATAATCATTAAATATAAATTATATATAAAATGTAACATGAAAAATATTATTGTATTCAATACTATAGTAATATAGTATGTTGTTGTATTAATTATTAAGGTAGTATTGTTTGAACCGACATTTTAATTGTTATGTTATTATGTTTAAAAATCATATGAAAAACATATTATATATTGTTATGTAAATGAAACTGTTATGTTTACTTACTTACTTGGTAGGACGGCTTTACGCCTATATACTATACCAGGCCTTTTGCCTTTGCTAGTAGCTGGATGTCAAAGTGGAATTTGCAACTGAGGATTCTTATTAATTTTTTTTTTTTTTATATATTTAACTTGTTGCCCACAGTTTTACTCTAGGCCGTTGTTTATGTCTAGAGGCATGTGATGGGTGGGAAATCTGACCAATATTCTTATATGATTGTATTGAGAAGTTGAGATTTGGTGGAAGGTTGCTAAGGCATTCATTTTGGTTAAGTGCTTGATAGGGATGAGACCGGTTGTGTGAAGAAGTACAGAGTTTTTTACGATGGACGGTATTACTCTGATACTTATTGTCTGTACTGCTTCTATTTTCCTCCATGTAGTTTTACTGATGAAGGGTGCCCATGCTTCACCGGCATAAGTTAAGATAGGGATAATGTACATTTTGAAAAGGTTTAGTTTGGTTCTGGTGGGGATTGGGCTTTTTTTGGTTAAAACTGAATATAGAATGCCGCGAATTTGAGTAGCTTTTTTGACAATTTTTGATGCGTGAGTAGAAAAGTTTAATTTATGGTCAATTGTTACTCCTAGATATTTAACGCTCCTGGACACCAAGGGATTTGAATGTTATTTATTTGGATATTTTTGATATTTGTAGTCTTTGTACGGCCGAACAGGATTGCTGTGGTTTTGGATTCATTTATACGAAGTCACCATTTTTTGACCCAGTCTGTTATGTTTTGTGACTGTCAAATTTCGAAAACAAAAATGTTATTATACAAAAATTTTGTTATGTTATGAAAAACAAAAATATTATTATGTTACGAAAACAAAATATTGTTATAAAAAGAAAATTTATATTGTTATGTTATGTGATGAAAATTTATTATATCGTAAAAAAAATAAATTATGTAAAATGAAAATCATGTCATGAAAAGAAATTATGTAAAATTGTCGTTATAATAATTATTAACAATTTAGGTATATATATTGATATTGTAAAATTATGTACTATGTATTTATGTCCATGTTTTATGTAAATTGTCTTTTATGTACACAATTAAAGATTTTTGTAGTTCTACAAATTGTAGCCCTACAAAAACCTTTGACAGGGCAATGAGGTCTAACAAGCTGTAACTACGTATATATTAGTAATAGTAATAATATATTATATTCAATAAATAGACATAAATGTTGCAGGGAGCACGTAACCCCAGTAATAGTAATAATATCAGCATCCGGGCGGCCACATCGATAAGAGTGTTAGGAACCCCTTGTTCTTATAGTAATATAATATAGGTAACGTAGAATTTAGATGGGTAAGCACTTTTATATGACGACGTCCGTCGCCATCGAATAATGCATAGTACATAAGTCAGTCGTGAAATAGTTTTAGACTCGATTACTGTGTGTACGTTTTGTATAAAAAATAAAAGTATTAATATCATTTTAATTCATTGCGTTAAAATTCAATTCCTGTAATAATAAGTTTCAATAGCGTACTGTAGTACTTTCGAGAGAGCAAACTCATTCTTTAACAGAGGATAACAACTCAAAATTGTCTACGAAGGAACAAACCCAAGTAAGACATAACAACTGGTGGCAGCGGTGCTCTTTGAAGAATACTTCAAGACGGTGAAACTTATCTGTAAATCAGGTGAACACACAGTCTTTCATTAAAATCAATATACCTAATATACGTAATTTACGTATCAATACGTTTTTATACGTCCACACGTTTTTATACGTCTAAATACGTCATAATACACACATATATATATATATGTGTGTGTGTGTGTGTATATATACGTATTTTACGTCCATATACTGCACGTAGTTATACGCAGCACATTACGCAAAATTGTGTAACGACAACTTGCTGACATCAACAAACGACAGCAGCACATGACGGCCGCAATTAAATTTTTTGTCTGTAAAACATGCCAATTTTGCTCGTGACTGTAAGTCACAACAAACGGTAAACAATGTGACTAAACAATGTCTAAAGAGCCTGAGGAAAATCCATATATAAAGTACGGTGCCAAACAAGGCGTTGACATGACTGTGCTGTTAGATTGCTCCTGAGGGTAAGTGTGGCGGAGCGTTGTAACCTAAAGTTGAGAGAAACCAAAAAAATGCTGTTTTGATTAGGAAGTGTATCCGTACTATCGGTGAGTGCTGTGGGTAAGGCCGATGTCATGGTGGCCGTGGACGGTGTCGAGGCTGGACCAATCAGAGTTCTGATAGTACCGAACAGTATACAGCGTTATGGTATGATTTTGGGTCGCAACTAGCTTGATTTGGACACCGTGACGTATAAGAAGGTGGTAAATTTACATTGTGTGAGACACAGGACGAGATGAGTTTGCGTGATGTGTCAGTCGTGACTTGGGCGGACAAACTAGACACGTTAGCGGTTTTGACGGCGTCCCCCGAACCTAAGCGAAGACCACTGGTCATAGAAGATTTCAAGCACGTGAACGCCGAAGTGACTGATGAAGGCAGGACTCAGCTCCTTGAGTTGATCAACAGATTCCGCAGTTGTTTTGCATTGGGAATCGAAGAAATAGGGTGTACAAAAATGTCAGTAATGGAGATCAATGAAATGGAAGGTAGCGAACCGGTTACCTGCAGACCATACAAGACTACAGCCGTGGACCGCGAAGCGATAGCAGAAATTATCGGTGAGTGGAAATAATAATCCCAAACCCAACACCCACCTAACATTATCTCAATCTCTTAAAACATTACTCGCAAAGTATATCAAAATACACCCCTACTCCAAAAAATCGATATCCAAATCCATACGAGAGACATGGACCACCGAAAAATAAAAACTAACCCACTTCAGTCTACCAAGACAATCTACGAAACATACAACAGACAAAACCATGGCAGGATGCACGAACGAATTCTTCAAGTACTGGTACAACTCTTCTATAATTGAAGACTACCTAACTATACCAACCAATGAAAATCCAACATCCTATTTCTTAAGTGTAGACTTTTTAAAAAAATACTGCGAGGAAGGACTTAACGGAATTATAAGATAGGTCAAAAAACCCATCCTGGACATGGACTCGCTACTATTTCCCATCAACGTGGGAAATCACTGGATTCTAATTGTGGTATTCCTTAATAGCAAAATGGTGGTCTGCTATAATGGCAAGCATAGGAACCACCAATACATGTTATCAATAATCAAAACATTCATGACAGAATGGGAAAAATATTCGAGTGTCCAGCTTTTGACTTGGAGGACATTACATGGAATCACACCAACACAGCACAACAACGACGACTGTTGGCCATGGATTCTAGCCGTAGTCAAGTGCGTGGCACTCGTTGAACCAATCTGTTTCACAGAAAAGGACATGCGACAAATAAGAATACAACAATACCAGAACATCATGTCCAATACTATACAATCCGCTACAC